GAAGAAGAGAAAATAGTGGGTTTGAGTGGGAAGGATGAATCTGAAAAGACATTCTTTGATAGTCCTGCCACTCACAAGTCAATGGTCACTTTGGGGTTTTTTTGTGCATTTTTATTAATTCCTCATGTTAATAAATGTGCTTAGTGATGTATGGAGTGCTCTGCCTACCTTACTAACCTGTGCATCACATATCAAAGAACAGAAATCACAAATACAAAAATTCTCCTACTGGAAAGGATGTTGTGTCTCCTTTCCGTGTTCACATGAGCTGCACTCAAAGGATATGTGCTGTTGCTGTTTGGTTTCCTAATTCTTTTATTGAGTCTGTTTTTCTGTTTTAATTCAATGCTGATACATGGCCTCTGTTAAGTTACTTGCTTTTCTAGGATTTGGTCTCCTTAAATCCCTTTTATTTATCTTCCAGCATACAGTATTCTTTGTTCTGCAGTGTCTGGGTTCTGGTTTTTTTTGGTCACGGTTCTTCCAACTAGGGACTGTGGTTTATTAGTCTTGAAATATAATTACCTCTAATTCTGCCTTGCACTTCGTGTGGCTAGTCTTGGGACTGCTGACACTGTTTTCGGCCCCCAAGTTTTGCTGTCAGTTGATTCGTTCTGTCTGTTAGATATCTGGACCGCTTGCCCCTGGATCATGTACAAGTGGCTGCTTTCTCTGTCCCAGCCAGCATTTCTCTGCCCTGTACAAACACTTGTCCGGTCTTCTTGATGGTTGTCTACTACAAAATACGGCTCAGATCTCTGTGTCTGTCTTTTCCTCGTAGTTAGGAATGGTGGTTTGGGTGCTCCGAATCTGGAGGAGCTTTCTGATGGTTTGCTCATGTGTCCTGTTGACATCTGAGCTCCCTTCCAGCACCTGTTAAAAACTGGTTTCCTGGATCTCCTTTCTCCCCCAGCCTTCCCCCAGTACACTTTGTGCTGGTGCCAGCGACAGCTGTAATGGTGCGATGGCCTGTGCCAGCATTTGGTACACCTGGGATAGGATTTTAATGAACAAATTTCATCAAGCAGTTCTCCTCTGTCAGCTGGTGGGACATCCAAGTACAGCTCTTCCATGTTAAGCGTGGTCTGCGCTCAGCCTCTTGCTGCTTCAGCTTCTTTTTCTCACTTGTCTTGGCAAGACAGACAAAATCACTATTTTCCAGAACGGCCTCCTATGATCACAGAATCACTAAGGCTGGAAAGGACCTTCAAGATCATCAAGTCCAACCATTAATCCAGTGCCACCGTGTCCCCTAAACGAGGATGACACGGCCGTCCTTGTTCAGTCTTTCGTTACCAGGAGCATACGTATGTTTTCATGCTGAAATCCTGTGAGGGGTTTTCTCTTCCCACGTGGACGTGGCCCCTTGCGCTGCCCCGTCCATCGGACAGCGCTGCGTGATCCCCAGCCCGCAGTGGCAATCCCGCGGCGCTCGCCCACGCTTGGGCTGCCGGTTATTGCGCTTCTTCTTTTGGCTTTATAAATAATGTTTCAAAGGATTTTGGAAGGTTTTTTTTTAAATGTTCCACGTGATTAAAGCATTCACATTAACCCCATACTTTACTTTCTTACACTGAAACGGTGACGTTAGCAGGGACTAGTATTGCCCAAGTAGCATTGGCTATGGGATGCAGATATATGTCTATAAGGACAAGTTGCCAAGATGTAAATCAGAAGGAAGTGGGAAGCTGAATTCCAAAGCTATTGTTATATAGTCTTTAGTGATGTCATTAGTATTCGTAAAAGCTTGGGTGTGTACATCTTCTGAGCATATTTGTGATAGTTTTACAGAAGATACATTGAAGTGTTTTCTGAGTATTTAAATTGTGGATTTTTTAGAGCTTTTACTGTCCGTTTCAAACAGGCTTCAGAAATTTGTCTCAAAACCGTGTTAATTAGAAATCGGTTTGCCTGTTTGTTTTCAGATACCTGCAGCACACTGAACTTAGCATGCTACTTGCATTAAGAAGAAATGACCTAACCCAGTAGTGGTCCTGACCGGAGAATTGACAGAAACATTTAAGTGGGTTTCAGATCAAACATATAAACACTTGCAGCCTGTTAGAACAATAATTTTCATTTGCTGTTTTGCACTGTGAAACATTTCCTCCCAGAGTAATTAGAGTGTAAGTGGTGTTTACTGTAAGGGGTGGTTTTTCATTTGATTGGTTTTGGATTTTGGGGGAATGATTATTGCTTGGTTTATTTTTCTCCTGATGAAGTCTAACGGTAGCCCAGTGTGAAACAAGATTACATTTGCCCGTAGAGAGGAAAAGACCTTATAGTCCTCAGTGCATTGTCAGTATGTGCTGGTTTCATCTGACCCCCATGTACCTATTTGGGGCTCCAGTTATTGTCAGAGAAGTTTTTGAAGAAGGTATGACTGGCAGACTACTATGTTTTACAAGTGTGCACACTGATAAACTGGATAGGGAATATGGATGGGTATGAAAGCTCCATTCTCAGATAGGAGTGTTTGAATGTGTGATCTGATTATATTTTCTTTTTCTCCCCCCTGTTTCAGGTATTCACTTACAAACAGAGCACGATCACACACCAAAAGGTAACGCCTATGCATCAAACAAGCGCAGAGAGCGTGGAAGACATGGCAGCACTCATAGATCTCCACGAAGGCTCCATTATGCACAACTTATTCCAGCGATATCAGCAAGATAAAATCTATGTAAGTTTCTTCTAAAATTAAGAAAAATACCCAGAGGGAATGTTTTGGAATGTGTAAGAGCCGTGTGTGTTTTGCTGTTGTGTGGTATCTCCCTTCCTAACGTCCTCCAGTTCTTTGTGTATCCACATAGAGCTGAAGCGTGCCTCATCTAGTGACTTCTTGCCAACTATGATGGAAGGAGAGGGGAGCTCAGGGCTGGCCAGGCAATGCCTTGGAGCCTTGAAAAACAGGCATGCTCTATATGCTTTTACACTTCCAGTGACAAGGTTGTGTAAAGGGCTCTTGTTTTCCTCTTCTCCTCTAGACCCTCTGCCCCAACTGTATGTGCTCTGTGTCACTAGAGAGGATGTGGTGGGATTTGGTCTGTGACTGTCATCTGAGATCTCATCAAGCCAAGATCCAGTTCTGATCAGCATCCCCTTTTCTATTGTAGTTGAGGTGGGATGGTACTACAATCACCAAGATGAGAACCTGTGCCATTAAATGCAGATAGTTGGAGTTTGGGTTGTATGAGAACAGGCAGCTGTTTATCAGTTTCAGAAGCAAGGAATTAGTCTACAAGGAATTCTTTTTCTCAGCTCTGTAATGAAGGTTTTGTGATTAGATTTACCTGCTTTTTAAATATTTTCATTAATCTTGAACTGACTAGATATGAATTTTTCCTAAATCTGGAACTACACTAAATGTGAGAAGGATCGAGGGAATATTAGTGGCTGTTACAGATTGTGAAATCTCACTTTTCAGTGGTTCAGTGGTTGGTGGTTTTTGGTTGGTTTTGGTTTTTTTTTTTTTTTTAATTACAGAACATAAATAATTCTTATTTGCATCACCTGTCTAGACCCTTGATTTAGCCATATACATGCTTTATTTTAAGCATTATCTGTTAAATTTGGATTCTTTATTTTTAAACATGAACATATCTTAACATAAAAATAAACTTTCACTGTATTTAGAAATTTATTCATGTTAAAAAGCAGAAAACAGCACAAGGAAATTATGTGCCTTTGTACATTACTTTTAAAGGGACTAGTACAGAGAATCCTAGATGTTGAGGTAGTTCTCTTTACAAAAGTCTTTATGTATGTTTTTTCTCAAAACAAACCATTTTGCCTTTCAGAAAAATCAGTAAACAAAAAATGAATAGCATATATGAACAACCTTGCATGTGTAGGGGGAAGAAAGCTACTTGGTAAGAGTTTAGTTTTCCACCAGTGTTACTAGATTAGAATACAATACTCAATATGAGTCAAAATAAAAAAACTTTTTTTTCTGAATAATTACTGGTACTCATATGTGGGACATGGATGTCAGCCTTTCTCCCTTTTAAAAAGCATGTGTGTAAAAATGGGTAATTTTTTGAAGAGGCAAAGAATAGCCTTGTTCTGAAGAGACATGTCCTTGCTTATTTCTTGGCTTGTCAAGGCAAGTTTAGGGTATTCTGATACTTGATGCTCAGTGCAGTGTACGTTTCTAGACAAACAGGTTTGTGTGCTGTTAATGATGACAGATCTTCAGTTGCTGCTGAACACTCATTGTCCTTTCAGTTTTGCTAGCTTTACAGCTTTACAGCTTGCTCTTTTGGGTCCAGCTCACCTGAAAAATGTTTGAAAAGGTGATTGGAAAAAAAGTGTGTTTTGAAATGCATATGAAAGCCTCTCGTCCTATATATGTAATCAGGAGCTGATGTACAAAGCATTTTCTTTTCTCCCTCCTCATTGGTACCCCACTCCTGTTGTGCCAATGGCAATGTTTTAACAGGACGGGGCTCCAGGAACAGAAACCCCAAGAAAAGCTGATAAAAAAGCTTGAATTTTATGAAAACTTGATCGATATATGAGCATGTGTTGTAGGGGCTGCTATTGTCATTGCAAAATGAACTGTGTCTTTTCAAGCCAAAATATCTTAACTATGTTGGAATAGTTCAATGATATTTTAATGTTTGATGTTAAAAAGACATGGAATGAAAGGTGCATTGATTTTACCTTTGTTGAAGGCATACATGCAGCTCAAGAAATTGGGTTCCTGGTCATTCTGCTTTGGGACCGGACTAGTTCTTGTACAGGACACTAGAAACCACTGGAGTTCATGCCAGCAGCAATTAAACATTCCAGATTGTACATTTGCCTTCTCCCTTCCCTCCAAGAACTTTTCTCTCTTGGTCAGTAATTGCACCATCAGTATAGTGCACATACTGTCTCTTGTAGCTGCCTCAGCACCTTGGCGGTATCCGTCTCTTGTGCGTTAGGGATAAATTGAGAAGGCACGTGCCCCTCTCCACTCTGAGCTCAGGGACTGGTCATCCCATTGGAAGACTTCTCGCCATCGCTGAATATAAACCTCCATATAATTGCCGTGCCCTGGTGTTAAGCTTCCAGGCCGCTCTCTAATTCAGCTCTGTGCACCTCCTTGTCCACATCCTGAGTGGGGGGAAAAGATACACAAAGGTGTATCTGGCTGGCATTTATTGAGTTATATGCTTGTATTGGTTCTTGAGTCTGGCAGCTTTTTATTCGTTTTCTCAGTGGCAATGAGACTGGGAAGCACCTTTATAGCCTTAATGAGGAATGCACTTAATTAGGACGTAAGTTTTGGGGCTTGCTTCTTCTCACACACACACACAAATTATATGAAGTGCAATTTACTAAATTGTGGTGTAAAGTATATATAATTTCAAAAACACAGAAGAAACAATTAAAAAGAAATTTAAACAGTTGCTTTCTCAGGAAGACAATTATTTATGCAAATCTTCCACCGTTAACTTGTGTGTTTGTCTGTATTTGAGGAGCTGTTTCTCCAGCAATGAGCATTTAAGCAAATGTCTTCAGATGTTTGAGTGCAGTTTGATCTTCCTTTACTTAATAACATATTTGTCTCACCTAATCAAACCCGTGTTCCTAAACTCTTCACTGCTTCCTAATTAATACTATAAAGATATTTGCTATGGATGCCAAGTTTTGTCAAACATGTCAGTGACATTTTTTGCTGCTGCCAACAGCTTCAGCTATAAAGGGTCAGCAGAGGATTTTCTAGATTTCTTGCTGGTTTTGGGGGAGGGGGGAATATTGATTTAGCATGCAGACTATGTTCATAGCGTGAATGATGTCTGGCTCTGTACTTAATGAGTTGAAGGCTCTTAGCTGCATCTGTGCTGCTAGTGAGAAGGTGAATGACAGAAGTTTGTCATTGTCTATGTGCAACCATCTTTTTGTATCGGTGTCAATTGTGTTGACAACTGCTTGTGATAATTTTTGTCTGAATTTCCGTAAAAGAAAAGAGTGCATGCTTTCCCTTTCTGGCCTGTGAGAAGCATGGAGTGTACATGCCCTTTCTTGATTACTTAAAGGAGGCTCCTGTCTGGTATTTTCTCAGGTTTCCTGTTTAATACTGCTTTTATCTAAAAGTTTGCTGCTGGGTTATCACCGCTTTTGTTGCCCAGGAAAGGAACAGGGTTAGGATGGCACTGATCATGTGTTGCAGGGGTTTTCATTGCTACTTTTTCCCCCATTTTACTCCATCAGGAACAATCTGATATAGGAGGTCCAGCTTCTAGACATCAGCATACAGGGTTTTAACACCCGTTTTAGACACCTCAGATTAGCTTGTGTGCTAGGCTGGTATGTGGCAACACGGGGAAAGATAAACACCAGTGCTAAAAGTGGAAGGTGCCCACGTTTGAAAATGGAGCCTTTTGTGAAGGCGAACGAGGAACTTTGTCGCCTCTGAAGCCACGCCGACACGGGGCACGCGACGTGGAGAGGGGACGTGCTGCGCCAGCCGTTCCTGTCACTGTTCAAAGGTGAGTTGTTCCCAAAGCTGTTGATTCTGGTTCACTTTTAGTAAAGTAAATGTTGTGGAGAGGACTGGCTTAGCCTTGGAGAGGACGCCATAAACCACGCCGCGTGGACTGTGCTGTGAGACACGCAAATTTCGGTCCTTGAGCTGGCCGCGGGATGCGCTGCGGTTGTCTTGTCTCTGTGGCCAGCGGTTAGTTACCGATGCAGCCGAGCGGATGCCGGAAGAGCAGACCAGAGAATGAGAGTGCAGCTTTTCCTGAGGTGAGAGGCAGGTTGGAAATGACTGCAGCATACGTGGTGCAGGTCAGCATGGAGGTTTTCAGCATCAGATCCACCCTCGATTGCCCGAGTTCAAGCAATAAACAAGTTTCAAAGCACATCTGATTAGTTTTTTTCCTTTTGAAATGAGCTCTGAAGTGCCGGGTAGGCACGTTGTGCTTTGACGTGGTGATGATTTGACACGTGCTCGTCTTGTTTAGGTGGAAAACATGTCTCTGTGCCCAGGGAGGCATGTTGCGTGGGGTGGGGTGCGGCGGTCCCTCGGCCGCCCTCCCCTGATGAGGAGAGTGGCCTCCAGGTTGTCCGGCACTTGGGTGTGGAGGCCATGAGGGGTGAGAGAGAACATCGCCTATTTTTGCTCACTTTCAAATTAGGACTGCAGCTTGCCTGCCGATAATTGCAACCATCTGTTAGGTTTCTGTGCGTCTGTATAAAATATTCTGTACCAGCCACGTAGACATATAGTGCTGTACCAGCCACATCCGCATCAGAGGGAGGATAGTAGTAATTAGGAGCTCAGTTTTTGTGGCTGGCTTCCATTCTCTCTTAAGCTGAACAAACGTGGAATAACTTGGATGAGAAAGCAACATTTCTCCAATTTTTAAAAGTGGCGTTAAACTGGACGAGTTTTCTCTTCCCTGACAAGGTTGCTTGCAGAATCCCTAGCCACTTCATTACACTGAATGTTCAGTTATCTGTTCTTAAAAGGTATATCCAGTTATTTACACATCGATTTTAAATCTATTTGTGTTTACTTTGGCAGCATGTTCAGTTGTAGTTTGTTAAACTTGCAGTAATTAGATAATTTATTTCCCTCGAAGCCATGGGGGTTTCCTGAGGCAAGCAGTTGATGTTAATTTGATATTAATCGATAATCACTGTCGGGGTTTTTTCAAATTCTGTTTGCAGACATATACACTTTAGTAT